GGAGCGAGTAGGAGGAGGAGCGCAAGGGAAGGAGCGAGCGAGCGAGGACGCGGAGCTCCGAGCGAGGAGCGGAGGGGGACCGAGGACGGGGCGGGCCTCCCCCCCGAGGAGCCTCCCGACTGCGGCAGGTCCAGGGGGCGATGGGCGGGCGCATCTTCTTCGCGGGAGCCTGGGCCCAGTACGGTTTCCACGAGGAGCGCAGTTGCGGAGCACGCTGGGCGCGGCTGTGCCCCTCGCCCCTCGCCCTTCTCTCCTGCCTCCTCCTCTCTCGCGTCCTCCTCTCCTCGCCCTCCTCTCCTGCCTCCTCCTCTCTCGCCCCTCGCCCTCTCGGGGCAGAGAGGAGAGGAAGGCGCAGGAGGAAGGAGGCGGAGGAGGAGGAGGAGGAGGAGGAGGCGGCGGGGGGTAGGAGGGAGGGCAGAGGGGAGAAGAAGGCGTGGGAGGAGGGAGAAGGGGGAGGCGGAGGGTAGGAGGGAGGGCTTGGGGAGAAGAAGGCGTGGGAGGAGGGAGGAGGAGGAGGAGGAGGAGGAGGAGGAGGAGGAGGAGGAGGGTAGGAGGGAGGGGGCAGAAGGGGAGAAGAAGGCATGGGAGGAGGGAGGAGGAGGAGGAGGAAGGAGGAGGAGGAGCCGCAGAAGCACCATCAGCCATAGCAGCAGGTGCAGCATGACAAGCGGGAGACAGGATGAGGAGGAGCAGCAGCAGCAGCAGCAGCAGGTACAGCCGCTGCGGCGTGTACCCCGCCTATGTAAAAGGGAAGGGAGGAGAAGGAAGGAGGAGGAGATGGAGGAGGAGAAGGAGGAGGAGAAGGAGGAGGAGGAGGAGGAGGAGCAGGTGCAGGAGGAGAAGAAGCCGTCGGAGGAAAGATTAGGAGGAGGAGCAGCAGCAACAGGTGGAGGAGGAGGAGGAGGAGAAGGCGTGTGAGGCAGGAGGAGGAGGAGGAGGAGGAGATGGAGGAGGCGGAGGGTAGGAGGGAGGGCAAAGGGGAGAGGAGGGCGTTGGAGGAGGGAGGAGGAGGAGGAGGCGGAGGAGGAGCCGCAGAAGCACCATCAGCAATCGCAGGAGGAGCAGCATGACCAGGAGGAGTTGGAGATACAGCCGATTTGGCTTGTGCCCCGCCGATGTAATAGTTGAAGGAGGGGGGGGAGGAGGAGGAGCCATTCGGGCAACGTGTCTCACAGCGTACGCGTATCCGAGCACGGCCTCCCTCCGGGGCATAAGGAGGAGCAGGAGCCCCGTGAAGTGCGCGGGCTCTCCCCCTTGCACGCACGCAAGCAACACGGCAGCCAATGGAGCAGCGGCCCGCGGTATTGTTTTGTTCCCACCCCGGCGGGAGGAGGGGTCGCATCGGGCGGGCCGCGGCTGGGGGGCGCCCGCCCCGAAGGACGGGCTGCGCTCCGCGCGGGAGGTGTGCGAGCTGCTGGGGGCACCGATGGATTCCTGGCCGCAGGAGCGGGTGCCGCTGGCGCGCCCGGGGCCGACACAAAGATGGGGTCCTACTCCTCCCTCCTCCTCCCTCCTCCTCCTCCTCCTCCTCCCCCCCTCCTCCTCCTCCTCTCCTCCTCCCTCCTCCTCCTCCTCCCCCTCCTCCTCCTCCTCCTCCTCCTCCTCCTCCTCCTCCTCCCCTCCTCCTCTCCTCCTCCTCCTCCTCCCTCCTCCTCCTCCTCTCCTCCTCCTCCTCCTCCTCCTCCTCCTTCCTCCTCCTCCTCCTCCTCCTCCTCCCTCCCCCCTCCTCCTCTCCTCCTCCTCCTCCTCCTCCTCCTCCTCCTCCTGCTCCTCCTCCATCTCCTCCATCTCCTCCTCCCTCCTCCTCCTCCTCCTCCTCCTCCTCCTCCTCTTCCTCCTCCTCCTCCTCCTCCGTAGCCATTTTGGCTCAAGATGCAAAGTTCCTCAGGGGAACATGTGGATACCGCTAGTCCGCGGCAGGCAAGACGTCTTGAGGTCTGGCAGAGTTTGTGCCTCGCACCCACGTTTGTGCCTGTGGGTAAACGGAGGCGTTTCCCATTCCTGCTCGCGCGAGCGTCTCAATTTCGCTCATGGGGTCGCCGATCCGAACTCGCAGCAGATCCTCCTCGATGGCATCGATCTCGCGTCCACCTTCCCCTCGCTGGCTTCCAACGACGCCGCAAAGGGCAACCAGCGCGGGAAGGGTTCTGCTCCGTCTCGTGCTGCTGATGCTGACGTTCCTCCACCTGGCAAGCGTACGTCGAATGGGCAGGAGTGTCAGACGAGCACTTACGGAATATTGTGCGGTCAGAGTGGGATGGTATCAAGGAGCCCATGCAGGAGGAAGTTGGCAAGATTGATGCTGCGTCGGTGTCGGAGTCGAACAAAACTATTCTTCAGGACCTGGAGGCCGTCAGGATCCAACTCAACGGGCAAGCCTCCTCCCTCGATCAGCAGGTGCAGTCCGCCATTCAGCCATCGCTCGGCGAGCTCGGGAAGAGGTTCCAGAAGCAGCTTGATGTGCAGGCCGCGCGCCTGGACGAGCATGTTGAGAGGCTGGACAAGCACGATGTGCAGTTGCAAGCGTTGCAGGGCGAGCTGGTCGAGTTCAGGAAGTTGCTCGCGGTTGCGGAAGAGAGGCCTGTGGCGCCGGTTGCGGTGCCGTCTGGCTTCCCCCGCGACTCTGACCACGCGATCGTCGTGGTCACGTCGCAGGTGCCGACCTCGCTTGCGGCGGTCAAGAAGTCGATGGATGAGTGGTTGCAGTCTCTGGCGCCCAAGCCAGAGGAATACGAGATCGAGGTGGCGGGTCCTTCACCCAGCCGCCGCTTCCTCATCAAGTTCAGCGGGCTCGTCGCGCCCGCGACTAGGAAGGTGCAGATGGTGCTCTCGAAGCTCCGCGAGAAAGGCGTCTGGAAGGAGTTCTGGGCTGAGGTCGACGGCGCCCCTGCCTGCCGCCTCCACCCTGGCCCTGACAGGGGCCCGCAGCAGGTCAAGCAAGAGACTACACTTTGCAAGCGCAAGGACGCGCCCCAGGGTTTGCGCAGTGTCGGCTCCAAGATTTCCCTGGACCGCGAGAGGGGGGCGCTGTCCACCGGCTGGGACAAGGTCATGCGAGTTGAGGTCTTCCACGGGGAGACCCCTCCGAAGTTGCGGCGGGTTGTCGAGGGCCTGCACAAGCATCGGATCACGAAGGCGCGGGCCGTCGCCGCGACGAAGGTGCTCACGGACCCTCCTAAGGAGCCTCAGTGGCGCCTTTGATGTCGCGTCGGTCTTTCACTTCGGCGCAGGTGGGCGCACTGGGTCTCCGCCGCCACTGCGATCTGCGACGCGGAACTGCCGTGCTCTTCTTCAGGCTGCAGGGGCTAAGGCTAGCCTGAAAAAAAAGAATTACCTCGCGCGGCCTCGGCCGCGCCGCACGGTCATTTCGCTGCAGGAGATCCACCAGGACGAGCTGCAGCTGCGCGCCTGCATGATCCAGATCTGCCCCGAGTCCGCGCTGATCACGTGCTGTGTGGGGACGGAGAGGACGGACCGCATCAAGGGCGGGGTCGCGATGTTGATTCCGAAGCTATCCTTGGTGGGTGGGGCTCTGACGATAGTCTCACACGATAGCCCCATACCTGGGCGAGCGCTGAGAGCGGATATACAGAGGGGGAGATGTCTTACTCACGGTCTTCAACATTCACAAGTATGGTTTGAGTTCTGATGACATTCGTCGCGCGACCGCGTCCATCGACGCCGCGCTGAGGGCCGCCCAGGACGACCCTGCGCGGAAGTTAGTTGTGGCCAACGGCGATTTCAATCTTGCTGCGGACGAGGCGCTCATCCTGCACTCTCCGTCGGCCGCCATTCGGCGGCCCCGCCGTCCGCTGCACTACCAGGCAACGCTCTGGAGGAAGCCGCTGGCGCGCATGTTCGAGCTCGAGGGCGACGAGCCGACCCACTACGTCAGGAACACCAATGAGTCGCCCTGCATCGACAGGGTCTTTTGCCCCCTCGCCAGCTGGCAGGCCTGCCAGATGCACATCACCTCGTCGACGGTCGAGTCGGCGGCCGCAGTCTCTGGCAAAAAGATATCGGATCACGTTGCAGCGGTTGTTTCGCTCTCTACCCGTGCCCCTAAGCCTGCTGCCGAGCGCCCTGCCCCACGCGAGCTGTGCCGCGAACGAGTCTTTCAAGAGCGCCTTGCGGGGCTCATTCGCTCCAGTGACTGGGCATCGATGTCTCCGCCATTTCGTCTTGAGCATTACAAGTTCCTTCTCCGTCAGGCTGGTCTGGAAGCTCGTGATCGTCTCTTCCGCCAGCGCCCCCAGCACCCACGTGCGTTATTGCTACTAGCCCGGCCCCTGGCACGAGTGGTCCGGAGGCAGGACTGGCGCCCGGCGCGCCGTCTTCAGAACTCGCATCCCGAGACTGATGTGCACATCGAGATCGACGGCACCAGTGTATCCTTGCGCCATCCACCATCATTTCAGGATTGGTATTGCCGCGCCCAACGCGACGCAGCTGATGCCCGCCGCCGCGAGGTCCAAGCTAGACGCGAGAGAGAAGGGGATGCGCAGCAGATTCGACTGCAGCTCCGCGCGCTTGAGAAGAAGGCGAGGCTGTGGCCCCCGATCGGCAAGCGTCTGTCCCTCTCGGGCGTGGACGACTCTGCCTCGCACAGCATCGTGACTGACCCTTCCGACCGCGTCGATGCCCTAGGGAGTTATTGGGGCCCTGTCTTTGCCAAGAAGCCGTGAGCCGCTGCCGCTGCTCGTTCTTATCTTCGGGAGCGCCTGCCGTCAATCGAGGACGTTGTCATGCCGCCGCCGTCGTTGCCTTCGATGAGAGAGGAAATCAGGAGATCTCGCCACAGTGCTACGGGTGTGGATGGGTTGCCTCACGATGCGTGGGGGTGCAATGAGCTTGGGGCCCGTGTTCTCTTCGACGCCTTGGAGTGGGTGATGTCTGGGCAACGGCTCTGCTTGGCCTCTAATATTATCATTCAGGCCGTTCTACCTAAGGCTGTACTGAGCACGAGATGAGAGATGGCACATGCACGCGTACACAAGAGAAGGTTCGAGTACTAGGCTTGAGGAACACAGATGTGAAGATCATGTCAGCCGTCGTGAATCGTGCGCTGCGCCCTGCGGTGGCGCACGTCGCCCCCCAGGCCCAGCGGGGGTTTGTGCCTGGGCGGAATTTCGGGTTGAACGCCCTGGAGGTTGACGCACATGCTCGGAAGTTATCGGTGACATGTCCTCCTGATCCTGGCCTGCCTCTCCTCTTCTCCATGGACTTCGGCCAAGCCTTCCCCTCTCTGACCCAGGATTCCATGCAGATGGTGCTGCAGATGCTGAAGCTCCCCGATGCCCTCCTCCTCTTCGCTTGCTCCCTGTACGCCGCGATCGAGGGCGTCGTCTCGGTCGGCGGGGCTTTGCGGAGGATTGTCTGGATACGCAGTGGGATCCTCCAGGGCTGCGGGCTCTCTGGGAGCCTTTTTGCGTTGAGTACGGCGCCATTCATCGATGACCTGGAGATGTCGGTCGAAGGTCCTGGGCTAGGGCTTGCTCGGGCGCGCGCGGACGACATCGGCGGCGCGGTTCGGTCGATCGCGGGGCCCTTGCAGGCCTTCCGCGTCATGCAGCTGGCTGAGGCCTTCGCCAACTCAGTCCTCAAGATACCGAAATGCAAAGTTGTGCCCCTGGCTGGGCGCGTCACTGTACCATTGGTGGCCCGTGTGCTGGCTGCGATCTCGGAGGCTATCCCGACTTGGGCTGATCTGGAGGTGGTCTCGAAGTTGCTCTACTTGGGCTTGTGGTTGGGCCCTGATGTTGGCCCCTGTGACTGCTGAACGGACCCTGTTGCCAAGCTTCGCCTGCGGGCTCAGGCGATTGGCCGCGGCGCGACACCCCCCAATGTCTCAGCCATCTTGTACAACACCCGCGCGTTGGCCACTCTCTCGTACGTTGCGCAATTTGCTTGGCTGCCCCCAAGCTCCTGGCGCTCGAGCTGCCCACGCTGGCGCAGGCTTTTTCGGGCACCTCTCGGCGCCCTCTCGCTGGAGTCCTGGGCGCAGCTGGACCTGTGGGGCGGCCCGCGCATCATCCGCTGGGGGCACGTCGCCGTCGCCTCGCTGGTGCGCGCCGCCACGCTCACCTCCCCCGAGCACGCGCAGATCCTGGACTCGCTGGTCTCCTTTGTCCACGAGCACGACGAGTGGCGCACGCTGTGCATGCTTCGACCTGGTCGTCGGTACCCGAGCTTCTGGCGCTCTCAGTCGCACGTGGAGACGCTGGCGCAAGCTGCTGCTGGTCATGGCCCTCCTGGCCAGCTCTCGCCCATGGCCCCCGTTGCGCGCGGCGCTGCCCGCGAGGAGCTCCTGGCGGCCGTGGACCGCCGCCCTCGTCCTCAGCGGGCTGCGCATCGCGGTCTCCATGAGTTGGCTCGTGACGCCGCACCGCTAGCTGGCATTTTGGGGCTGAGACTTCGGAATCTGATACCCCGACACCGTGCAGTGCTTGGAGGGATTAACTGGGACCCGATTGCTACAGTACTGAGGCGGTGCCCGACGTCGTGGGCGTGGGCTGCGTCTCGCACCGGGTCTGACGCTTGGCCCACCTCGCATCGCATCCTCCATGCGGGCGGCCGGCGGCTCTGCGCGCATGGCTGTGCACGCTCGCCTGACTCCCTCAAGCACTACGCCCGCTGCCCCAAGATGTTCTCCGCAGTGCGTCAGGCGCTGGGCAGGTCTTTCCCTCTCCCTGTACTACACCGCTGGTGTCTCCTGCCCCCATAGATTGATAATGTTGCGGTGATGATGGTGGCATACAGCATGTACAACGTGACCCGCACAGTCGAGCAGTGGCCAGTGGACGAGAACCAGACCTTCAGCCGTGCTCTTGCAGGAGTGCGTGCGATGCGGATGGCGTCGCCGATGCGCCTCTCGAACGTGGAGCGGGCCGCTCTCGGGGTGACGGACTTCGCGAGGCCGCGGCCTGGCTCTTCCTCATCCTCCTCATCTTCGTCATGCTCGTCATGCACTTGTGCCCCGTCGTCGCCAGGCATAAGTGGGACCCCAAGTGAGCGTACTGATTTGAGCTTCGACCCTGAAGGATGTGGTAGTGACTCCGACGGCTTTCGGTCGGGGCCGCGGCTTTTGGCCGCGCCTCGGCGTGGTCTCGGTACATTGCCGCGCCTGTCTGCTGAGCTGGTGGCCTCTGACGGCAGGGGCTCGGACGCTGCCCGTTCCGAATGTTCTGAACCACCCACGCCTGCCACGCTCGTCGCCACCCCCGAGCGCGTCGGCAGCATTGTGGACGAAGTGGCGTGGCAGGCCCCTGCTCCGCTCTCGCCCATAGCCTTTGTCCTCTTCGTCGGCGCTCCCCTCTCGCGACGCAGCCTCTGCGCAGTCTTATTCGTTCAGCGCCTCGAGTGCGCCGTTGCCCGCGCATGTGTGTTCGGGCACAGGTGCCCGCCAGCCCGTCACTGCTTCAATCCCAGCGCGTTGCAACACAAGCAAGCTCGTTTTGTCAACGGTTCCGAGGCCTGCCGTCATTGATCAGCAACCTCGGCGCCCACCAGTTCGCCTTGCCTGCATCTTTACTTCACAGTCGGGCCGAATATTCTCCACCCGCCCACTCCCTCTGTGCACCCCTGCCCTGTCTGCCCGCGTCGCCCCCACTCGTCCGTCTCTCCTGTGCGCTGCTCTTGCTTGTGCTGCTCCTGCTCCCCTCTCGCTCCCCCCCCCCCCGCCGCCGCTCCTTCCTTTTTTTGCGCCGTCACCTCTCCCCCTCGTTCCTTCGCCTCTGAGTGCTACCGTTGCGGCTGCTGCTTCTCCCCCGCTTTTCACCCCCACCTCGTCGCCCAGCTGCTCACGGTATAAATACACGGCTGCACCCATCGTCGCGCCGCGCTTCGAGCCCATGTCCGACGGGCAGGAGGCTCCTGCAGCACCCGCCCCTGCCGCTCAGCCGCAAGGTGCTGCGGTCGGGGCCGAGAGTTTCAGGTAGTTTGCAGACGGGACGGCCCTCTCTACGCTCGTCTCCTCCTCTTCCTCCTCCTCCTCCTCCTCCTCCTGCCCTCCTCCTCCTCCTCCTCCTCCTGCCTCCTCTCCTCCCTCCTCATCCTCCTCCTCCTCCTCCTCCTCCTCCTCCTCCTCCCCCCTCCTCCTCTCTCCTCCTCGTCCACCTCCTGCCCCCCCTCCTCGCCTCCTCCTCCTCATCCTCATCATCATAATGATCATCACCATCATCCGCATCAGCAACATCATCATCATCCATATCCGCAGCCTCATCCTCATCCTCATCCTCATCCTCGCCATCATCGTGCTGTTGCTGCAGCTGCTGTTCCTCCTCATCATCCTTCTCCTCCTCATCCTCCTCCTCCTCCTCCTCCTCCTCTTTTTCGCCTCCTCCTCCTCCTCCTTCTCATTATCCGTCTCCTCCTCCTCGTTTTCCTCCTGAGCCCCCTCCTCCTCCTTCTCTCTTCCTCATCCTCCTCCTCCTTCCCCCCCCCCCCCCACCTCTTCCTCATCCTCTCCCCCCTCCTCCTTCTCCTCCTCCGCCTTCTCCTTCCCCTCCTCCTCGTCATCCTCTTCCATTTCCTCTTCCTCCTCCTCTTTCTCTTTCTCCTCCTCTTTCTCTTTCTCCTCCTCCTCCTCCCCCTCCTCCTCCTCCTCCTCCTCCTCCTCCTCCTCCTCCTCCTCCTCAACTGGAGCCGCGTGTCCCCCACTCCGCGGGACCTCCCAAGAGCTCACGAAAGTGGTGGCAGTTGCGCACTCCGCAGCCTTCCAGGGAGCCGCGAGGCAAGAGGCAGGAGCAGGAGGAGGCGGAGGAAAAAACCTAGAGCGCACAGTGCCTATTCAAAACGAGAACCCAACACAGGAGAGCTGGGGAAACAAACCGTGTCTTGCCTCGGTCACTTCTCCTCCGCGTGTTTTGCCACCACCCCTCATTCCCCCGTCCCTCATTCCCCCTTTCCCTGGCACAGATACGGATACCGCTGCTTTGCCTAGGGAGCCCGTGTCCCCGCGCCTGGTTCGTTTCGAGATGTTGGTCAGAATGTGCCCTAGAAAAGGTAAGGTCCCGGGCTCCAGGGAACCATGGTTCAGTGTCAGACAGGGGCCGAGGAGGCGAGGAGAAGGAGGAGGAGATCAACAGGGACAACGACGAGGACGTCCACTAGAACGAGGACGAGCGTCGCAAATGGTTCCAGTATATATACATATATATAGGTTGAGAATATGTGGTGCCGCCTATGTTCTGCTATGTATGCTGTACACCTATGATTTGCAACCTATATGGTACAACATATGTGGTGCAATATAAGTGGTGCAATTTGCGTGGTGCGATCTATGTGGTGACACGTTTGTGGCGCAATGTATGTGGTGCAATATTGGTGCAACCCACGTGTTGCAATATTGTGCAATATATGGACGAGGCGTCGACGGGGCGGCGACGGCGACAGCATAGCCGCCAGACCGACGCGCAGGCCCAGACGACGGGCGGCAACAAGGCGACGACGGGGCGGCGACGGCGATAACAAGGCGGCGGACCCGACGCACAGGCCGAGACGGCGGGCGGCGACGAGGCGGCAATGGGGCGGCGACGGCAGAAATATAGCCGCCAGACCGACGCGCAGGCCCAGACGACGGGCGTCGACGAGGCGGCGACGGCGACAACATCGCCGCCAGACCGATTCGCGGTTCCTTAGAAGAGGAAGAGAACCCCAAAGTGCAAGCATGATTAGGGAAGCAAAAAACTGTTAGCCAGCGCGGGCCCCAAACATTGATGATCTACCCGCTATTCAGTGCAATCTCGGTGGTGCAATATAGGCGGGATGTATGTGGCGCAAAGCAAAGCAACGCAAAAAGCAGCGCAAAGCGATGCAAAGAAATGGAAAGCAACGCGAAGCGGTTGCACACCAATGCAAAGCAATTGAAAGCAACGCAGAACAAAGCAACGCAATGCAGCGAAGCCATACAGCAAAGCCATGCAAAGAGCGCGCCTCGCACAGTCAAAATCGTGACCAAAGACGGCGGCGACGGGCGGCGGCTTGCGGCCACAAGCCGGCCGGACCGACAACAAGGCTCAGTTCCTCAGAAGAGGGGCATCAAACCCTAAGTGCAAGCATTGGCTGGGGAAAAACCGCTACGGCGCACACAGACGTGCTCTCACCCTTGTCACCCGGCCAAGACCCCTGGAAATAAATACGGTTCGGTGCACGTGGCCGTGCCCTCACCCCTGTCACACGCCCACGATCCTTGGTAAAAGCACACTACTGCGCACATGGCCGTGCTCCCACACCTGGCACACTGCCACGATCGTTTGTAACTCACACTGCGGTGCGCATGGCTGTGCCCTCACCCTTGTCGCACGGCTACGACCACTTCCGTTTAAAAAATGCACCATTGTGCACGTGGCCATGCCCTCGCCCCTGCCACGCGGCCACGAGCCCGTGAGCAAAAAAGCTACGGTGCACATGGCGTTGCTCTCTCTCTCTCTCTCTCTTTTTCTCTCTCCTGTCACGCCTGGAAATCCACAGGGATACCTAGCAAGACGCGTTTTCACTAGCCAACCTTCTACTCCTCAACCCGCCGCCTCACTTTTGCTGCTATTCGAGTAGTTTGCTATGGTCACTTGCCCGGGCCCGCGGAGGGCCCCAGGGGCCCGAAAACGGCGAAAATATGTCCAGGACTTCTTCCTCCAGGAACCGTTTCCTTCATGCTGGCGTCGGCGCACCCGAAGCGTGGAGCTGGCACGCAGCAGCAGGGGGTAGGAGGAGGAGGAGGAGGAGAAGGAGGAGGGAGGAGGACGAGAAGGAGGAGGGAGGAGAAAGAGGAGAGAGGAGGAGGACGAGAAGGAGGAGGACGAGGAGGAGGAGGAGGAGAGAGGAGGGGAATAGGGAGGAGGAGGAGGAGGAGATGGAGTTGGAGGGAGAGGTCGACACACCTCCCCCCGCCAGGTGGCGCCCTCCCTGCTCGGGAGCCTCTGCACATGGGCGCTCTGCCGCGGGACGGTGGGGCTGCCGAACTCACCTCCCGCTATAAACCCCATCGAGTGTGTTTTATCGATGCGGGGCGGAGGAAGAGGAGGAGGAGGAGGAGGGGGAAAATCCCCCTCCTCCTTCTCATTCCCAATCCCCCTTCCTCCTGCCCCCCCCCCCTCCTCCTCCCCGCCTTTGGCAACTGTGATGGCATCGTCTCTCTCGCAGATTGGGTGTTCTGGCATGTTGGTTGGCGGGAAGCCCTGTGCCACTGGGCGGAGCCTTCGTTGCTGGAAGGTTCAGCCTTGTCCGCTCGAAGGTTGCCCGCTCGACGTTTCCAATCCAACCCTCCCCCCCTCCGCCTCCTCCTCCTCCTCCTTCTCCTCCTCCTTGTCCTCTTCCTCCTCCTCCTCCTCCTCCTTCTCCTCCTCCTCCCTCCTTCCTTCTTCCTCATTTCTCCTGCCTCCTGCCTCCCTCCTCATTCCTCCTTCCCCATTCCTCCTTCCACTGTCCTCTTGCCTCCGTACTCCTTATTCCTTCTTCCTCCGTCCTCCTCCTTCCTCCTTTTCCTCCTTCGTCCTCCCGCCCCTCCTCATCCTCCTCCTCCTCCCCCTCCTCCCCTCCTCCTCCTCCTCCTCCTCCTCCTCCTCATCCTTGTCATCTTCCTCCTCCTCCTCCCTCCTTCTCCTCTCCTCCTCCTCCTCCCTCCTTTCCTTCTTCCTCATTTCTCCTGCCTCCTGCCTCCCTCCTCATTCATCCTTCCCCATTCCTCCTTCCTCTGTCCTCTTGCCTCCGTACTCCTTACTCCTTCTTCATCCGTCCTCCTCCTTCCTCCTTCCTCCTTTTCCTCCTTCGTCCTCCCGCCCCTCCCATCCTCCTCCTCCCCTCCCCCTCCGCCTCCTCCTCCTCCTCCCCCCCTCCTTGTCCTCTCCTCCTCCTCCTCCTCCCTCCTCCTCCTCATCCTCATCCTTCTCCTCCTCATCCTCCCTCCTTCCTTCTTCATCAGTTCTCCGGCCTCCTGCCTCCCTCCTCATTCCTCCTTCCCCAATTCCTCCTTCCTCTGTCCTCTTGCCTCCGTACTCCTTACTCCTTCGTCATCTTTCCTCCTCCTTCCTCCTTCCTCATTTTCCTCCTTCGTCCTCCCGCCCCTCCTCATCCTCCTCCTCCTCCCCCTCCGCTCCCCTCCTCCTCCTCCTCCTCCTCCTCCTCCTCCGTGTTCTCTTCCTCCTCCTCCTCCTCCTCCTCCTTCTCCTCCTCCTCCTCCCTCCTTCCTTCTTCCGCATTTCTCCTGCCTCCTGCCTCCCTCCTCATTCCTCCTTCCCCATTCCTCCTTCCTCTGTCCTCTTGCCTCCGTACTCCTTACTCCTTCTTCCTCCTTCCTCATCCTTCCTCCTTCCTCCTTTTCTTCCTTCGTCCTCCCGCCCCTCCTCCTCCTCCTCCTCCTCCTCCTCCCCTCCTCCTCTCCTCCTCTCCTCCTCCTCTTCTCCTCCCTCCTCCTGTCCTCTTCCTTCCTCATCCTCCTCCTCCTCCTTCTCTTCCTCCTCCATCCTTCCGCTGTCCTCATTTCTCTTGCCTCCTGCCCCTCCCTCCTCATTCCGCCCTTCCCATTCCTCCTTTCACTGTCCTCTTGCCTCCGTACTCCTTATCCTTCCTCTTTCCTCCTCATTCCTCATTCCTCCTTTTCCTCCTTCGTCCTCCCGCCCCTCCTCCTCCCTCTCCACCCCCCTCCGCCTCCTCCTCCTCCTCCTCCTCCTCCTCCTTGTCATCTTCCTCCTCCTCCTACTCCTTCTCCTCGTCCTCCTCCTCCTCCCTCATTCCTTCTTCCTCATTTCTCCTGCATCCGGCCTCCCTCCTCAATCATCATTCCCCATTCCTCCTTCCTCTGTCCTCTTGCCTCCGTACTCCTTACTCCGTCTTCCTCCTTCCTCCTCCTTCCTCCTTCCTCCTTTTCCTCATTCGTCATCCCGCCCCTCCTCATCCTCCTCCTCCGCCTCCTCCTCCTCCTCCTTGTCCTCTTCCTCCTCCTCCTCCTCCTTCTCATCCTCCTCCTCCTCCCTCCTTCCGTCTTCCTCATTTCTCCTGCCTCCTGCCTCCCTCCTCATTCCTCCTTCCCCATTAATTCCTTCCTCTGTCCTCTTGCCTCCGTACTCATTACTCCTTCTTCTTCCTTCCTCCTCATTAGTCCTTCCTCCTTCTCCTCATTCGTCCTCCCGCCCTCCTCATCCTTCTCCTCCTCCCCATCCCTCTCCTCCTCCTCCTCCTCTCCTTGTCCTCTTCCTCCTCCTCCTCCTCCTCCTCCTCCTCCTCCTTATCCTCCTCCTCATCCCTCCTTCCTTCTTTCTCATGTCTCCTGCCTCCTGCCTCCCTCCTCATTCCTCCTTCCCCATTCCTCCGTCCTCCGTACTCCTTACTCCTTCTTCCTCCTTCCTCCTCCTTCCCCCTTCCTCCTTTTCCTCCGTCGTCCTCCCGCCCCTCCTCATCCTCCTCATCCTCCCCCTCCGCCTCCTCATCAGCATCATCAGCCATCATCCTTGTCCTCTGCCTCATCCTCATCCTCCTCCTCCTCCTCCTCATCCTCCTCATCCCTCTGTCCTTCTTCCTCATTTCTCATGCCTCCTGCCTCCCTCTCTTCCTCCTTCCCCCTTCCTCCTTCCTCTGTCCCTCTTGCCTCCGTACTCCTTACTCCGTCTTCCTCTTTCCTCCTCCTTCCTCATTCCTCAATTTTCCTCCTTCTTCCTCCCGCCCCTCCTCATCCTCCTCTTCCTCCCCCTCCGTATCCTCCTCCTCATCCTCCGTGTCTTGTTCCTCCTCCTCCTCCTCTTTCTCCTCCTCCTCCTCCCTCCGTCCTTCTTCCTCCTCATTTCTCCTGCCTCCCTCCTCATTCCTCCTTCCCCATTCCTCCTTCATCTGTCCTCTTGCCTCCGTACTCCTTACTACTTCTTCATCCGTCCTCCTCATTCCTCCGTCCTCCTTTTCATCCTTCGTCCTCCCGCCCCTCCTCATCCTCCTCCTCCTCCCCCTCCGCCGCCTCCTCCTCCTCCTCCTTGTCATCTTCCTCCTCTGCCTCCTCCTCCTTCTCATCCTCCTCCTCCCTCCTTCCGTCTTCCTCATTTCTCCTGCCTCCTGCCTCCCTCCTCATTCCTCTTTCCCCATTCCTCCTTCATCTGTACTCTTGCCTCCGTATTCCTTACTCCGTCTTCCTCCTTCCTCCTCCTTCCTCCGTCCTCAAATTCCTCCTTCGTCCTCCCGCCCTTCCTCATCCTCCTCCTCCTCCCCCTCCTCCTCCTCCTCCTCCTCCTTGTCTTCTTTCTCATCCTCCTCCTCCTTCTCCTCCTCCTCCCTCCTTCATTCTTCCTCATGTCTCCTGCCTCCCTCCTCAGTCCTCCGTCCCCATTACGCCTTCCTCTGTCCTCTTGCCTCCGTACTCCTTACTCCTTCTTCCTCCTTCTTCTTCCTTCCTCAGTCCTCCTGTTCCTCCTTCGTCCTCCCGCCCCTCCTCATCCCTCCTCCTCCTCCCCCTCCCCCTCCTCTCCTCCTCCTCCTCCTCCTCCTCCTCATCCTTGTCCTCTTTCCTCCTCCTCCTCCTTCTCCTCCTCCTCCTCCCTCCTTCATTCTTCCTCATGTCTCCTGCCTCCTGCCTCCCTCCTCATTCCGCCTTCTCCATTCCTCCTTCCTCTGTCCTCTTGCCTCCGTACTCCTTACTCCTTATTCCTCCTTCCTCATCCTTCCTCCTTCCTCCTTTTCCTCCTTCGTCCTTCCCCCCCTCCTCATCATCCCCCTCCTCCCCCTCCGCCTCCTCCTCCTCCTCCTTGTCCTCTTCCTCATCCTCCTCCTCCTCCTTCTCCTCATCCTCCTCCCTCCTTCATTATTCCTCATTTCTCATGCCTCCTGCCTCCCTCCTCATTCCTCCTTCCCCATTCCTCCTTCCTCTGTCCTATTGCCTCCGTACTCCTTACTCCGTCTCCCTCCTTCCTCCTCATTCCTCCTTCCTCTTGTTCCTCCTTCGTCTTCCCGCCCTCCTCATCCCCCTCCTCCGCCCCCTCCCGCCTCCTCAATCCCCCTCCTCCTCCTCCTCGTTTCTTCCTCCTCCTCCTCCTCCTCCTCCTTCTCCTCCTCCTCCCTCCTTCCGTCTTCCTCATTTCTCTTGCTTCCTGCCTCCCTCCTCATTCCTCCTCCCCCATTCATCCTTCCTCTGGCCTCTTGCCTCCGTACTCCTTACTCCGTCGTCCTCATTCATCCTCCTTCCTCCTTCCTCCTTTTCCTCCTTCGTCCTCCCGCCCGTCCTCATCCTCCTCCTCCTCCCCCTCCGCATCCTCTCCTCCTCCTCCTCCTCTCCTCCTTGTGCTCTTCCTCCTCCTCCTCCTCATCCTCCTTCTCCTCCTCCTCCTCATCCTCCTCCTCCTTCTCCTCCTCCTCCTCCCTCCTTCTTCTTTCCTCAGTTATCCTGCCTCCTGCCTCCCTCCTCAATCATCATTCCCCATTCCTCCGTCCTCTGTCCTATTGCCTCCGTACTCCTTACTCCTTCTTCCTCCTTCCTCCCCCTTCCTCCTTCCTCATGTTCCTCCTTCGTCCTCCCGCCCCTCCTCATCCTCCTCCTCCCTCCCCCTCCGCCTCCTCCTCCTCATCCTCCTCCTCCTCCTCCTCCTCCGTGTCCTCTTCCTCCTCCTCCTCCTCCTCCTCCTCCTCCTCCTCTTCCCTCCTTCCTTCCTCCTCATTTCTCATGCCTCCTGCCTCCCTCCTCATTCCTCCTTCCCCGTTCTTCCTTCCGCTGTCCTCTTGCCTCCGTACTCCTTACTCCGTCTCCCTCCTTCCTCCTCTTTCCTCCTTCATCCGTTTCCTCCTTCGTCCTCCCGCCCCTCCTCATCCTCCTCCTCCTCCCCCTCCGCCTCCTCTTCCTCCTCCGCCGCCTCTTCATGATTTTACGTTAGACCGACTGAAGGCGTTCCTATGGCGTTTCTTCTTCCTCCTCCCCTCCTCCTCCTCCTCCTCCTCCTCCTCCTCCTTCCTCCTCCTCCTCCTCCGCTCATGATCCTGCCTCCTCCTTCTCTTCCTCCTCTTCCTCCTCCTCCTCTCCCTCCTCGTCCCATCCTCCTCCCCTCCCCATCCTCCTCCTCCTCCTCCCCCTCCTCCTCCTCCTCCTCCTCCCCCTCATCCTTCTCCTCCTCCTCCGCCTCCTCCCACGACACTACTCTGCTGAAGATGTACCTTCGATATGTTACCACAGCCCTCGGAGAGTGGCGAGCAATTGCGTCTCGTAGGAACCAGGCGCTGACCAAGCCTGTTAAGAGTCGGTCCCCTCCCCTCTCCTCCGCCTCCTCCTGTAGCCTCTCGTGTGTTCCCGAGGGCCCGTGTCTTCGCATGTGTCAATGGCCAGCGCCGATGCACGATCTGTCGCATCCGCGTTCGCTCCCACAAAGCCGAGGAGGAGCGAATGAGTGTTGTGGCCTGTCCTGGACATTGTGCTCAGATGTCTGACATAGTCGATAACCCCAAGGGGGCATGATATGTTTGACCATGAACACCTCGAGCAGCCCACGAGTATTTATGATGCGTCATCGCTGTGGTTCGTTTGAGAAGGGCGGCTCACGTGGACTGCGAGGCCAGTGCAGCAGGAGACCTCACAATGGAGCCCAACTGCAGCTACAGCGAGCAAGATCTGGCCGACACCCCACGAGTGCCGCCCATGGTCCGACCGTGTTCAGTCCCCCCCTGGCCCAGCTCGTGAGCGAAGCCCTCGCAGCTCAAGTTGACCAGGACGACGTGAGCTAGACTTCAGGGAATTCATCTTCCCCTTTTCCCATTCTCTCCCTTGGCAGGCCCCCCCGATGGCGGACCTGACTCTGTGTGGAGGCCATCGGTCCCACATGTGATGCGTTTGTTTGTTCGAGCGTGCGGCACGGCGTTCGCGTTGTGTGTGTGTGTTGTGCATGTCGCACGCGTAACAGGCACCCCTGTTGCCGCACCCTACGGGCCTTCGAGGCTCAGGGGAAGTGAGTGCACGCGCTTTGCATGCTCGTGCCTCTGCTTCTCTTCGCAGCCCATGGGCAGCGTGTGCTGCTGACTGCAGGGGGGCTGCTGCAGTCAGAGACAAAGTCCTGGAGCCTAAGGTTTCGGAGTAGGGTCGGGTCGGCCAACCCTTAGCCTCCCATCCTCAACCACGTTTTTGTCCTCCCCCTCCTCCTCCACATCCTCCTCCTCCTCCTCCTCCTCCTCCCCCTCCTCCTCCTCCTCCTCCTCCTCCTCCTCCTCCTCCTCCTCCTCCTCCTCCTAGCAAAAGATCGAGATGATCTTTGGTGCTTTATCGAGGACCGTTGGGCTGGGCGCCAACAGGCCTCGGGAGGCTTCGTGGAGGCGTCTGGAAGCCTCCAGAGGCCTCTTGGGACCTCCCCCGGAGGCCCCATGAAGACTTCTTGAGGGTGAGCCAATCATACGCCTTACCACAGGGGAGGTTTTCGGGAGTTTCCGACAGTTCTCCGCGGGCTTCTAGCATCGGAATGCTTCCCAGAAGCTGCGCCTTGCCGAGAGCGTTTCGAGCGTGCCCGAATCATCCCGAGCGACCACCGGAGACCCGAATTTTGACCGGAAAAACACGACAACTGGGGAAGCGGGCCCTAGGGTAGCGACGTTTCCCCCGTTTTCGGATTCGGTGCCCTCCCTGGGCCCGGGAATGTTCGAGCACGCCTCAGGACGAAAATTTGGTGTTGGGGCAAGGTCCCGAAATCCAGGACCCGCTTCCCTCAGGACCCATGTGTTTCATGCCTTTCACCAGCGCCGAGCTCGGCCTGGCCCATCCTGGAACCATGATTGGCCTGGCCAGATCAATGTTGGTGTGCAGTTGGCGTCCTTTCAATGCCCACCCATCCACCAACACACTTCTCGTCGATTCCTTTACACGCTGAAGAGAGAGGATGGCGCCAGAGAAAGAGGAGGAGGTTGGTTGGTTGGACATTCCTCGAAAGCAAAGTCACGTTACGGCGGCGACGCACAGAATCGAAGTCGATTGCCCAGAAGGAGGAGGAGGAGCAGCAGGACCAGGACCAGCAGCAGCAGGAGTAGAAGCAGACGCAGCAGCAGGAGGAGCAGGCCCCGCTCCCCGGCAGCAGACCGGCCAAGAGCCAGAGAGAGGACGAGGAAGCAGCCCGGGCGCTGGAGGAGAATGGGGGCCCCGAGGGCGCAAGCGAGCTCATGAGGGAGCAGCACCTGCGGGAGCAGCAGCAGCAGCAGGAGGAGGCAAACGGGAGCAGGGCCAGGAGGGGGGCAGGGCACGGCCAGGCCGCCGACACTGAGGAACGGCCCGGGTCCGGAAGGGGCTCGCCAGTCCGTGGAAACCTCTGGGGGGTTCGAGGTTCGAGGTTTCCGACGCGCTCCTCGACCCGAGGCGGCATTCCAGCCTCGAGGTGCCTTCCAGTGGCTGCGCCTCGCCGAGAAAATTCCGGGGAGGCCCGAGGTTATGGTCCGAAAACCATCAGGCGTCGAAGTTCCATGGTCGCGCTCCTGCAGCGACTCTCGTGCGCCCGGCCGCTTCGGGAGGCCAACGAGGGTCTTCGCACCTCGTCTGGCGCTCCCTGTGGCAGCGTGGTCGGGAAAGTCTGCCTACAGCGTGTCGCTCTGCGGGTTCCGGCCCGCCACCCCCCGGTCCGCGAGCGGCAGCGTTCGAGCTATTCTCTCGGCCTCCCGCCCCGCGGAGCGGAGCGGCACGCCGTCAGCTCGCAGGGGCGTGGCGGGTCGTGTCGCCGGGGCTGCCGCCAACCAGAAGCTCCGCCGCCGCAGCCTGAGCGCAGAGCCGCCGCGCGCCCGCGCAACTCGGGACCAGGATGCGGGGATCGACGCTCGACCCGGACGCCTAAATTGTTGCCCCCACTCTGGCTGCCGGCCGGGGGGGGGGGGATGCGGGCCATGGATATGAAGCTTGGCCTCCAGAGGCTGGACTCTTGTTCCACGCTCTCGCTCCAGGCCCCATCGTAGATTTCTGGCGGGAGCAGGTGCAGGGATAAGTTGACGCTCGCCTGAGGATGGGGGGCCTGGTGAAGCACGGGCTCCTGCGCATGGTGCTCCCGAACGGGGACGAGCGGGTCTTCGGGGACGGTGACAACGGTCCCCTGGCCTGGGCGGGCGTGACGGCCGAGGAGGTGACCCTGATGGTGCACTCGGAGCGCCTGGGGCAGCCCCCTGAGAAGGAAAGAGAAGAGGAATAAGAAGGAGGAGGAGGAGGAAGAGAAAGAGGAGGAGGAGGAGGAGGAGGAAGAGAAAGAGGAGGAGGACGAGGAAGAGAAGAGAAGAGGAGGGAGGAGGAGAGAGGAGAAGAGAGGATATGACGAGACGAGACGAGACAAGAAGAGAAAAGGGATAATACAAAAAAGAATAGGAGGACGAGGAAAAGGAAGGCAGCCACGTTTGACCAAGACCGTGGCAGCTGCGCCAGCCATCAGGGACCAGCCTCGATCGAACCCTTTCGACCTTCCAAACCTCAACCTTGCATCCCCTCTTACCCTGAACCATTCGACTACTTCTTGAGCTCTTCCCCAAGTGACGCCGTCATCCACTACACAGGCGGTGCTAGCACTACCACGACTTCGCCATCCCCCAGCCCAACTTGGTATGAACGAAGACGAGAACGACCAACAGCAGCACGCGTACTACTACGAGTCGCATCAGCACGGACGTACCTCGACCAGCATACGCAGCAGCAGCTCCACGTTGCTCCAGGACTACTTGAAGCACACCACAGTGCACAACAACCACTGCGACATCCACTACAAGCTCCTACAATGGCGGCACCATGGGGATCAGCCGCGTGCCGGCCATCGAGCACGTCACCGCCATGGAGGCCAGCTTCGAGCCCGAGCCGCACTCCAAGCAGGGAGCCACCAACGCGCCCAGCCGAAATCGCGATCGGTACAGGCCTTGTATGGTGGAGGGAGAGAAATGGGCCGCGCAAGGGGCAGCCCAGCAGCCCCGACACATACTAGTTCGAAGGCGCCGGCAAGAACACCGAGAGCACCAGCGGCAACTGCAAGCGCAGCTTCCCAGATCCTCACGACGACTACACCCAGGACGCCAACCAGCCGCAGAAGGGCAAGAACAAGGGAAAGAAGGGCAAAGGCAAACAACCACCCCCCAAGAGCAAGCCTCTCAACAACATAATCAGCAACGTCATGCCCATGTACAGAGTCTACGCCACCAGAAAGTACGACTGGGAGGCACCGTCCAGCGACCCAAAACCCACAGAGGCGTGGAAGAAAGTCAAGGCAGCAGCATGCGACTCCACCAGCAGACGAGGTTCATCGACCGCAATTAACAGATCACGGAGGACGACTACGAGCACACCAAAGAGCATCACAAAGAATTCGACATGTAACTATCGGGTCGAAGTGGAGGCCAAGATCAACGAGCTCAACACAATCCATCGGGACATCAGTTTCGCGCGGGTCGCTGCATACAAGGAGGTCAGGGCGGCAGACCACGACGCAGAGGTCTCACAAAGAGACTGCGCCCAGAGGAGGGTTCCAACACCAGGACCAAGAAGGCAACACCAGGGCCAGAGAGACGAGCGAGGGCCAAGACGTTGGAGCGCGGTTCAAGGCCGTCAAGATGGAAAACCAACGCTTCGCTCGAGACGTAAAGAAGAACAAACATGAGACCAGAAGAGTTCGACAACCTCTACCGCAGCAGCACGGATAACGAGAAGACGATATAGAAATCCGGGACGGGACTACAGAAGATACAGCGAATCTTCGCGCAGCCGAAGAGACGGCACAAGTGGAACAGAAGAAGCAGCGGCATGCAGTCAAGCAAGCACCGCACCACCAGAACGAGTTGAAGGAGGAGCTGGCGAATGCCGCGATGACAACCGAGAGGATCGCAGTCCACCACGAGGACACACAGACAAGCTCGGCGGCTATTTTACAAAGGACGGTGGAGGAGCTCGAACCCAACGTGCGGAACAACAACCGCAGCATGAAGGACACCTCGCTCGAAACCAACATGCCGCCGATTTACATAGTGAACTGAGACGGGCCCAACAAAAACTTGCTGAGCACGGCGACGACTACAAGAACCACCAATAGCACTTACAACTAATGGACAAGAGAGCCAGGGACAGTGAGATGCACGACGGCAAGGGCAACACCGATCCGTCATTGAGGCCCAGAGAATACATTATTTCAACGAGCATGCCCAGCTGTGCAACTACCGGAGGGATTCCGACAACCTTCATCGCAACGCCACCTCGAGATGCAGGGCGCCCAGAAAGAGCACCAACAGAGGGTGACCGACATCGAAGGGATCGCACGAGCAAAGCACGCTGAACAAGCTCAACAATATAAACTGCAGATCCACAGGGTACTCATGGACATGAACACGCACCAGAAGCAAGCCCAACAGCAGACGGCCCATGCAGAAGGCCAACTACAACTGGTACTGCAACGAACGGATATCGGCACGGCAGGGCAGCAAGAAGCCCACCCAACACGAGATCCAGGTAGACCAGTAACAAGTGGCCATGCGGAGAGATTTGGACATCTCACACAGAAGGCGCACCCTGGAGGCGACACCATAATTTCTCTGCGCGCGACAAGTAGCGGCTCAAGCACAACAGCGGCTCGACAACGCGGAGACGGAAAATGCCGTCCAGAAGGCCCTAGCCACCGACGCCCTTGGCGATGAGGAGGAGATGAACTGGTTCCTGCAACCAGTTGCACCCATGGCTTCACAAGAGGCCGTCCCAGGGATGACCGAACTCACGCAAACCCAGAGCGAGCTAGAAGCACGAGAGAGCGACGCATGGGGATCAACAAGACGAGCACCATCAATTCCACCCTTCCACTCCAACGACAGGGCGTCGCACCCCGACGCACGACGCACGACGGAGACCGACGGGGCCCCAACCACGAAGCGAACAATTCGACGCGCCGCCACCACCGACTCCCAACGCATGGACGCCACGATCGATCACGGCAGGGCAACCCGACCGACCGACAGACCCCAGAATGAAGTGGGCCGCCCGAACGAACGTCGCGCCGATCGAAGCTCCATCAGTTAAGACAGGAATGGGCGACCTCAGCACCACAGAGGAGACGCAGGGGTGTTTCGCACGGCTCTTCACCACGTAAACATGCAGCTCCACCAGCGCGAAACTTTAGCGCAAGGAGGACAGGGAAAGCCACCATCGACCCCAACGAGCCATTCCGAGATCGTGCCATATCCCACCGAGGCACCAACGGACGTCGCATCCAGCGACGACGCGGCCCAAGCCAACAGGGCTGCCTCAGGACCATACTGATGGTCACAGGGCAGCGCGATGCTGGACAGCCATCGCGCTGCACATGGTGAGCACCACACCGCGAACGCCCAGACCGGCCCACCCCACCGCAAGGGGCAGAAGTCAATTGGGAGGGCCACAAGGCCAGCCCAGAGAGGGGTCTGCGACTGCACCGCGTAGGCGGTTTGCAACTTGAGGGACGCACGAAGCCGGCAAGGATTGTGGAGTTTTTCTTCTGACACGTGTGTAAATGTTGCCGGCTCTGGACTGCCACCATTACCTCCTGCCCTTCTTCCTCTTCTTCCTCCTCATCCTCCTCCTCCTCCTCCTCCCCCCTCATCTTCCTCCTCTTCATCCTCCTCCCACTTCCCCTCCTCTTTCCCCCCCTCTCCTCGTCGCCATCATCGAAACCCGGCCTCCTGTCCATATTTGTCGCTCGTCCGTTTTCTTCCTCTTCTTCGCCATGCCTCGGCCTGCACACCCCTCCCCCTCCTGCCCCTCGCCCCCACATTCCCCTGTTCTTTCCTATTTCTCGTTATCCCTCTCCCTCTCCCTCTCTCTGTCTCTCTCTCTCTCTCTCTCTCTCTCTCCTTCTTTCCCCTTCTTCCTTCTCCCGACCTCAACCCCATCCCGTTTTCGTCGCCGCATCTGCCCCGCGCCCGTGCGCCGGGCGCGCGTTGTCCTACGCCTCCGAGCGCGCATCCCCCCCCTCCGCGCGCGCGCATTTTTACGCGTGGAGACCATTAAAACACGCGCCCTCCGCGCACGCGCAAGGCACACGCTGCCCCCCCCCTTCCCACCTTCTCCCTTTCCTGTAGATCATCACTTACCGGTTGCCTCTTCCCTTCCCGCGTCAACTAGAGAACACCTGAAATTGCACACATGTTCAAGCCATGCGGTAAGCAAACGAATGGACTCTTTGGTTTCGCAGTGGCTTCTGTAAACAGACAGGGGCGCAAAGTAGCTGCTTAGCAGTGCGAATGTTTGCGAAAAGTCATTGGCATCCCTCGTTCGTATGTTTCACGATTTGCTAATGCACCTGTTCTGGACCAGGCGCAGCCCAAACCATGTCGCAGGTTTTATTGGATATATGAAGCAGGCTGTGTTTACACACATATATATTGTTAGTACGAATAATAATACGAATAATAATAATCGTAATTGTTGTTATAGTAATAAATTATACCATTTATATATATATATATATATATATATACATAAAAAAAGATTCTTATATATATAAATAAATAAATAAATCTATATATAATATATATATATAAAACAAAAAAAAAAAAAAAAAAAAAAAAATTTAGTCAGATAGCTGAATATTTAGTGCGAAAGCTTGTTTGCGCCCCCGGCGGCGCACCGAAGTCTTTCTTGGGCACGCCAGCGCTTAAGACGGCGTCTACAGCAGCACCGGGCATAATCAATATATGCACTCAAACACTTGCAAGTATGATGTCCTTGGTCCTCCTTCCCCACTCCCCCACCATGGCCACAGCAACAAAACGCGTGTTCAGAACGAGCGTGCGGTTACAAATGTAATGCTTGAATTCTTGCAAGTTACGTTTTGCGTACGCGTCCTAAGGATGCACAGCCCACTGACTGACTGATGTGTTCCTTCCCCGCTCCCCTCCTCTATGTATGTTGTTCGGCCTACGGCTACAGCCTACAGCTACAGCCTACGGCGGTGACCCACTAAGGAGTACCTGGCTTCCCCCCCCCCCCAGGGCCGCGTTTGGATATCTCGATGTCCGAGAGAGCGAGACGGAGGTGCCTTTTGGCCTTCCCCGCGCGAGCTGGTGGGAATACATATATATATATATATATATACCCCGCCAGGGCTCCGCCAACTTCGCCACCGTTGGCGGCAAAGGCGGGGGAGGAGGCAGGAGATGTCCGGACCTTGCGGAGACTTCCGGGCGGCTCCGGGATGTTTTCGAAGGTGTCTGGATTGTTTCGGAGGCAAGAATTGAGAGGAAGGAGGCGGAGGAGGAGGAGCAGCAGGAATAGCAGGAGGAGGAGGAGGAGGAGGAGAGAGGGAGGAGGGAGGAAGACTTGGAGGGAAGGAGGAGGGAGGCGGAGGAGGAGGATCAAGGCGAAGATGAGGAGAAGGAGGGGGAGGAGACCTCCCACTCCCCATCCACTCCCCCTGGTTTCCCCTCCATTCCCTCCGCAGACCCCTTCCCACTCGCTCCAGCTTCCCTGCGTTAGCTGTCACCTTCCCTCCTCCGCTGTTTGCACCCCTCCACCCACTAAACAATCACTCAATAAGAAGAAGGTCGGGCACTTTGGCTTAGTGGTTCAGCGTGTCGCGCTGCCAGTTCTGACCCATCGACCCACCACGCCACGGCGCGACACGCTCAACACACCCTTGTCCCCAGGCATCTACGTTCCGAGCTTCTCCCAGAGTCCTGCCCCTCGAGGCAGAGCGACGCGCCATCCGCTCGCCAGGCATAGCGTGCCGCCGGGGGCGCCACCACGACACGCCACGCAAAGGCTCCTCGCTGTAGATATCCGATCGCCGTGGGCAAAGCTTAGCACAACATCTTCGATCCTGAGCACCCCCTGCTGGAAAGCTTTCGTGCCACGTTGGCTTCCAGGTCTCTGGGGGGCCGCGGAGGCCCGCAGTGGGTGCCCAAATCTTCCAGTTTCCGATCCTTCATCTTCGAGCAGCGCTGGCCGAAGGCCTGCCAGCCCTGCGTATTCCGCGGGTGTTGAACCACAGTTGCTTCACTGGGCTGGTCGAGGCTAGCCAGGACTGCACACCTCAAGGATGAACATCGGAATGGGCCTCGAAACGGGCCTCCTCCACACAAGCTGGTTGCGGCACCTCCGTTTGGAGGCTAGCCAGGATGGCGGATCACGTCCAGGAAATTCTCGGGGAGGCCTCTGGGAAAATCCGAGTGGGCCTCATCAGGATGTTCCCAGGGAGGCCTTCGAGTGCATTCAGAGGGGCGCCTCCCTTTTGATGGTTACATGCCAGGGACACAGGCGATTGGCAGCAGGACAGCGGCACCTGTCGCGATTCGCATCGCGAGGACATCTGCCATGCTACTTTGGTTCGAGGGCGGGGGGTGTTCCCGAGCCTCTGGCCAAGAGTTCGTTGGATCGGATTTCGACAACCGATCGTCTGCCTCTGGGAAGAGGAGAAGGAGGAGGAGGAGGAGGAGGAGGACGACGAGGACGAGTTTCCAGATGTGTGGATTTATGGATTAGCCACGCGCGTGCCACATGAGTGTTCATGTAGAGGGAGGACTCGGACGAGGAGGAGGACGAAGACCAGTGTAAACCCAAAAGTCAAGAGTCATCAACGATGTTGGGATCAACCCTCCCTCCAAGCTCCCTCTTCACAGGCCCCTACAACGGTTCATTTCCATTGAGGGAACTGCCTCGTTGGAAGGCAACCGTTTGAGTGTCCTGAAGCGTGCCAAAACATTGTTCTCTGGATTTCAACGCCACGTATAACCTGCCTGCTGCGTTTTGACGATCCGGAATCGTGCCAGAGTGTCACTTTTGGGATTTCAACACCGCGAATCAACATAACTGCTGCACCCGCATAATCCTGACTCCTTCCAAAACCTGGGTCTGGTATGTTGAACATGGGAATCCGTGAAACGAATGTGCGCTGCGCTGAGGCGAGAGACACAGCTTGAAAAGGAACCGCCCTCAATCCGTGAAACTCTTGCAAAGTTTGAAAACGAATTTGCGCGGCGCTCAGGCGAGAGCCACATTTTGAGAAGGATCCGCCCTCAATCCGTGAAGCTTTTGCACATGTTGAAAACTGATGTGCGTGGCGCTAAGGCGAGAGCCACATTTTGAAAAGGAACCGCCCTCAATCCGTGAAACTCTCACAAATGTTGAAAACGGATGTGCGCGGCGCTAATGCGAGAGCCACATTTTGAAAAGGAACCGCCCTCAATCCGTGAAATGCTCGCAAATCTTGAAAACGGATGTGCGCGGCGCTAAGGCGAGAGCCACATTTTGAAAACGACCCGCCCTCAATCCGTGAAATGCTCGCAAATGTTGAAAACAGATCTGCGCGGCGCTAAGGCGAGAGCCAAATTTTGAAAACGGCCCTGCTCCATCTGCGAAACAGTTGTCACTTTTTGAGGTTCAGACACATAAATGGTGAGGAAGTCTCAGGCGAAACGCCCGGCCCCGAAGAGAAGGAGGGAGTAAGGAGGAGGAACGGAATGGAATGGAATGGACACCTTCGCGGTGCGATACCAAGCAAAATCCCGACAATGTCGAAACTTATTTCGGTTGGTCGGCAAAGCCTTGGGCCATTGCCCGTCTTTGAATTGATGTATGCAGCGACAACGCGTGGGAAGGTTGAAGGAAAAACGGTGCAACAAACAACGCCCGAACTAGAAAGAAACAAATTCCCCCCTCCACCCCCTGGCCTTAACATTGGCAAGCGTTGCGTTCGAGATGCTGGATTCGAAATTTGCATGGCCCGCTTCTCACAAAACGCTTGCTCAATATTAAGACCAGGAGGCGGAGGGGGGTCATGCGAAGTGGTTCCTGAACGCTTGCTGCAAAGTATGATATTTCAACGGGATTGCGCGGGGCCTTACGTGGCCTCGCTAACCCAGACGTGTGATGTCCTGATTCGTTTAATACGGGGCCCCCAGAAGTCCCGACCCGTGCCCCTGGGACCGTTTTTCATCCCGCGTCGTCCTTTGACGGTCCCAGGGCCCGGCAAGGGCCCCTGGAGACCGGAAACGGACAGAAAACTTTCCGTCGTGATTCCTTTGACGACGCGAGCATGCCTGAGAAAGGAGCCCTCCGTTGGGAGCTCCCAGCGCGGCGTGCGGCGGCGCTTGGCGGCCCGCTGCCCCCGCCAAGGAGCGATTCCTGCTCCGGGTGCTCCTCGACCCCGGCATGGGCTTCGCCGAGGCGTACATGGCGGGCGAGGCGGGGCCTTTACGGAGGGGGAGTCCTGCTCCCGCTCGTCCCTCCCTCCTCCGCGTCCTGCTCCTTCTTTGGTGGGGCGGACTCGAGGCGCAAAGCCTGCAGCGTACTCCTCCTCCTCCTCCTCCTCCGCCTCCTCCTCCTCCTCCTCCTCCTCCTCCTCCTCCTCCCCCCCTCCTCTCCTCCTCCTCATTATCATCATCATCATCATCATCATCATCATCATCAGCAGCAGCAGCAGCATCATCATCATCAGCATCGTCATCATCGTCATCATCGTCATCGTCATCATCATCATCATCATCATCATCATCATCATCATCATCATCATCATCATCATCATCATCATCATCATCATCATCATCATCATCATCATCGTCGTCGTCATCGTCATCGTCATCATCATCATCATCATCATCATCAGCATCATCATCATCTGCCTCTGCCTCTGCCTCTGCCTCCGCATCCGTCTCCTCCCCCCTCCCTCGCTCTCCTGCTAATTTCGTTCCCTCCCTTCTATGTGAGCTTCGGTGCCAATATGGCGTAGCCCTATCCTCCTCATGCTCCTGATTCCTGATTCCTGTCGGCAGTGGTGTTCTCCGAACGCTGCCGCTTCCCCCAGGGCTGGCCAAAAGCCAGCCCTGGGGGAGTAGAACATTGAAGTAGAAAGGCGAAAAACTAGGACAGACATGGAGGAGGAGGGAGGAAAGAGAAGGGATCATCATAACCTCGGGAGGGAAGAAGCAAAGGGGGTGGACTGTGCTGGCGGCAGTGCTGGCGGTGGCGAAAAGGGTGGCGACGGAGGCCCTGGGGCCTGTGGGCGGGTCCCCTTCTTTCGGGTCGCGTGACCCTACTGCGCCACCGCTCTAGAGGGTGCCCCAAGGGTCCTAGTGGCTAGAAGTAGGACATCAGGGGTGGAGAGGTGGCTGTAACCTCTGCGTGAGCAGGCGTGCTGAAGACTGGCGGCGGTGGAGGTGGCAGCGCAGCAGTGTGCGGCGGTGGCGGCGCCTCTCCAATCTCGCCGTCGGGGGGCGCAAGGGCCTCTCCCTCAGCCCACAGACGCCCCCGGGGTCAAAGGCGGGATCCCGCGCCCGAAAAACAGGCGCAGGGTTCCCAGCTCATTGACCCTGGGGCCGCCTGGGGGGGGGTCTACCGAGCGGGAGGGAGGCTTGTGCCCTCCAGGCGGTGGCGGGACCTCCAACTCTCGCAGATGGTTGCGGCCACGCTCGCCAAGGTGGATGTCAGAAAGGCCTCTACCCCTGCATATAGGACCCCCCCCCGAAGCGGCCACCATCCCCATGATTGGTACCCTCCCATGCCGAGGCAGGAGTGGGGTACCCAGATCACGCGAATGGTGGCCGCTTGGGGGGGGGGTGTTCCACCGTGCTTGGGGGTGGTTTCTGCCATCCGTGGCGGCGGCACGCTGTGTGTGCTGTCCTCCCGACCCCCCCCCCCCCCGATAAAACCTCAACCCCGTCCACTGGACGGTTGGCAGGCGGTTGGGGCAAGAGCAAGCGCCAGTGTCGCAGCATAAGCCGCTGTGGCGCTAGGAGGAAGCAGAGCAGGTTGCACGGGTGGGGCACCTGTCGGGTGCATCGGATGGTTCGTTGCCGTGTTGCCACGGCTTCCCAGGCCCTTGCCAGAGCGGCCTGTGGCGAGCCCCCTGTTTCTTACTTCCGCCGAAAGCATCGAGCGCCAATCCCTCGGCCACGAGAGTGGGGGCTGAGAAGGTCAGCGGGGTGCGGCAGGGGGAACGGGCACGAGAAGGAAGCCAGGAGAGAGGGAAGGTTGGAGGTTGGCGAGGCCGTCTCTCAAAACACGTCGGTTGCGGCAGCATAACTCGTGGGTGAGAATGCCATTGGGGGCCCACGTGTAGCATAGCTTCTACTGTTGCCGCTGACGTCAGCCGAGGCTTTGCGTGACACGTCGGATAATCTAGCATAGCTGTGTGGGTGAGAACCATTCGGAGAACAAACTGCGAGCAAGTATCAGGCGGGAGCCGTTGTTGCTGTAGTTCGGGGTTCACCAACGCAGGATGGTGGCTTCACTGCCCCGTGTAAAAAAAAAACAAGGTGCGAGCCCCAGGAGAAGCACTTTCATTGAAAAATGCAATGGGTACTGAAGGTCAACAACAAGCATCGCTTATACATAGGAATGGAACGTTCATGTTAAGACTGCTCGTTCCTATCTGTTCACGTATATCCGAAACCCTCAATACCCGCCCCCATCGTCTTCGATCGTACCCCCATTCGGGGGGGGGCATATCTTCCTTACCTGCCGCGTGTATAGCTGGCGCAGCCCTTAAAACATGGGAAGGGAGGGAGGCGGGAGGAGACGAAGGGGAGGGAGAAGGATGGAACACGAGAGAGATGTGCAGAGCGGGGCGGGCGGGCGGGCCCTAACGGGCAGGTAGGATGGGGTGGGCCCAGGCGGTCGGGTCAATCGGGCGGGCTGTTGGAGCGTGAATCCAACGCGAACCGCAAGGAGCAGGAGTGCAAGCGACAGCGCGGCGCTCAGGCGAGAGCCACAGTGTGATAGCCACACATCCTTCCATCCGTGAATCTCCATACACACGTTTCAGATGAAAGCCCGCGGCGCCAAGGCGAGAGCCACAATTCGTGAAAAATAAGCTACCATCCACGTGTGAAACTCTTGCACTTGTTTAAGACCAATGTGCGTGGCGCTAAGGCGAGAGCCACACTGTGAAAACGGCCCAACCTCCATCAGTGAAATGATTGCAAGCTTTTCAGGCGAATGCGCGCGGCGCTAAAGCGAGAGCCACAGAGCGGAAATGTCCCGACCTCCACGCGTGAAATTCCCTGAAACGTTTAAGACGAATACGCGCGGCGCTAAGGCGAGAGCCACTTTTTGAAAACGGCCCGCCCTCCGTCAGTGAAGCTTTTGCACGCTTGTAAGCGCGCGGGGCTGAGGATAGAGTCACACTTTGATAAAGGAGCCGCCCGCCACACGTGAAACTCTTGCAATTGTTTAGGACGAACTTGCGATGCGCTAAGGCGAGAGCCACACTGTGGAAATGGTACGCCATCCATCCGTGAAATTGCTACACACGTAAAACTGCAGGATCATGAATGGTGGGAAGCCCGCCCTACCGACACGTCAAGAGTCACCCGGTAGGAAAGGATGGAGGAGGGGGACGGGGGGGAAAGAGCACAGAGAGTAAGGAGGAAGAGGAGGAGGAGGATCAGGCGATCGCAAACATGGATCAAGGGGGCGTGGATCAGCGACGAGTCCCGTTTCCATGGGAAGCGGATTTCCGCCGCCGAACGAGGCGGCACCGGCCACATGTTGGGAAGGGCACCTCCCCCGATCCATGGATTTGGCGACCGCGCGCCAAATCCATGGATCGCTGATCCATGTTTGCGCGCCCCGAGATGAGGAGGATGAGGAGACCGGAGACCTCAGGTGACCCCGCTCCCGGACGTGACCGATTTCTTCCGGCTCATGCTCGGCAACGGCGGCTCGAACAAAGACAAGGCGTTTTCGGGGGCGTCCAAGAGGGGTGCGAGGACTGCGGGGGGGGGGGGGGGCGGACGTCGTGGCCATGGCCATGGTATTTCCTTGGATGTCGTGACCCCCCCGTCTCCTTTCAGTACGTCTCGTCCCCCCTCCCTCGTCCGCACATGCCTCCAGTCATGATCTGGGAACCCCCCTCTTGGACGCCCCCCTCTTGGGCTCCCCCGAGGCGTCCTCCCCGCTCCAGTGGAGCCCCGTGGCCATGCTTGCCGCGGCCGGGAAGGCCTGGAACACAGCGCTGCACGCGCGCTCCGCGAACACCGCCGTCGGGGGCTCCGCGAAGAACATCCGGGCCCACTACGACCTCTCCAACGAGATGTTCCAGCTCTTCCTCGACCGGACGATGACCTACAGCAGCGGAATCTTCGACCCCGAGGTCCGGCGGCGCGCCCCAGGGGGGAGGCGGGGGGAGGCGGGCCTCCTCGGAAGGCTCGGGAGGCCGCCGGCCTCCTGAGGAGCTCTCCGGGCCCTGTGCGAGGCCAGAGGGGGCTTCTCATGAGACCGGAGGGCTTCTGGGAAGCACCCCGCGGCCGTCTGAGAAGGCCTGCCCTCTCGGATTCTTACCCCTCGGCGCGACGCGGAGAGGTGGAGGAGCTCCAGCAGAAGGCTCCTACGCCCTCCGGGGACGGGGAGCGGGCGCAGGACTTCCTCGAGCTCGCGCAGACGAAGAAGCTCGACCGGCTCCTGGACCTGATCGAGCTCAAGGATCGACCACACATCAGAGTGACCCTTCGCCGGAGTGGCTTTTGGTGCGGGCCAAGAGGGGTGTCCCCCGATGCCTGAATGTCATGCGACGGCAGCGGCGTGCGCTCTGGGGATTGGCTTCCCCCCGCGCCCCCCTGAAGCCGCGCACCACAGGTCACTGTTACTCCTGCGTGTGGCCGCAAGGACGGGGACGAGGTGCTGGAGATCGGCTGTGGCTGGGGGTCTCTCGCCATCCGAGCAGCGACCCGCTGCCCCGGGCTGAAGCGATGGGTGGCGATCACCATCTCGCGGGAGCTCATGGGGGAAGGGGAAGCGTTAAAGGGAGGAGAGGGGCTCGGGGGGAACATGTGTTCGGACGGTGTCTTCGGTTCTCGGCGGCCTTCCACCCTCGGGACGCCTTCCAGCCTCTGCGCCTCGCCGTGAGCATTCTGGGGGTGCCCGCATCGCCCGAAAGGCCGCCGGAGAGCCGAGTTATGGACCGAGAACCAGCCACAGGGCACGAATCTGTTCAGGGGGGGAATGCCTCGACCCTCAATCGCTCATTTATCGCCGATAGCCCGCCCCGCCCGGGAAAGTGCGGATTCGCTTTCCAGGGCCTATCGCCGATCTGTCGATGATGCATCGCCAATCCCAGTTCAATATTGTGAAGGCCTTACGGCCAGTGGCGCCGACCCAGAAGGACGACGACCACGACGACGACTACGACGACAACGACAACGACAACGACGAGCTGATGACCTTGCCACAAGCTTTCTCCGCTGAGCTGGCCCCCCATCGGCTGGACCCCCCTTATCGTTCGCCCGCAAGAAAGGAGGGAGCTCCCCAGGGTCAGAGCAGGGATCCTCCCCTCCAGGAGGAGCCCTGAGCAAGCCAAGCTCGCCCGCTCCTCTTTTGATCCAGCTAGGGTCCCCCTCCTGCCTAGGAGCAGCAAAAGGAGGCGCTGGCGCGTATCCGGACTGCTGGGCTCGAGGGCAAGATCCGGGTCGAGATTTGCGACTACCGGGAGGCCGCGCAGCGCTTCGGCACTGGGGCCTTCTCCAAGGCCTGCAGCTGCGAGATGATCGAGGCGGTCGGCCACGAGTTCCTACCCGCCTACTTCGCCGCCATCGACGCCTGCCTCTGCCCCGGCGGGCTGTGCTCGATCCAAGCGATCTGCGTCCCAGACGAGCGCTACCCGACGTACCGGAAGGGCTCGGACTTCATCCGGAAGCACGTGTTCCCGGGCTCGCACCTCGTCAGCGTGGCCGCCGTGGAGGAGGCCCTGGTCGAGGGGAGCACGTCGCTCGTCCTGGACCTCAGGGGCAACGTTAAGGGGGCGGATAGGCTCGAGGGCGGACGCATCGACACCCCATCGCCCACTGATCGCCGATAGGGGCCCTATAGCCCACCCCGCCCAGGAACGTCTGGATTCACTTTCGGGGGCCCATCGCCGATCTATCGGCGATGTATCGCCGAATCCAGCTCGCTGGTTCGCTGGGCCAGCCCCACCATCGTTCCTCCTCAGGACCGCACCCTGGACAAGGGTCCCTTCTCGGTGGGCCTGAGCTATGCGAAGACGCTTCGGGAGTGGCGGCGCCGCTTCGCGTTGCACGAGACGGAGGTCCTCGGCCAGCTCGACCTGGTCGGGGGCCAGAGCTTCGACGTCCCTTTCCTGCGGAAGTGGCACTACTATTTTGCCTACTGCGAGGCCTCGCAGAAGAGATAATTGCACACAGTCACAAACATCAGGAGTTTCGCGCGGATTTCTTGGATCGGCAGGTCCCCTCACCATGGCGGCGCCCCCAGCGCCGATCCAAGAAATCTGGGTGCCCCTCCAGCAGTTTACGCTTACGCAGTTGTTACTGGCAGTCCAAGGTCGGCTTCGAGGTCCGCCACATCGACACCTACCAGCTGCTCCTCCGGAGGTCCGCGGAGGGCTCCGTGGCCGAGGTGGGGAAGACGGCGAAGGCGCGGAGCAGGCGCTTCGACGGGGACGCGATGCACAAGGGCCTGGGGGCGCAGCCGGGGCCAGCGGAGGGCGTCAAGGCGTGGATGACGAAGCGGCTGGTGGCCTGGGGGCAGCGGCTGCTCGACCAGGGGCGGATGCCAGACGCCGTGGCCAGGGCTGGTATCCGCTTCAAGCTCGCGCAGAAGATCCGAGAGGAGGAGGGCGGCCTGGACGTGGAGGCGAGGCAGGCGAAGAAGATCGCGTTCGTGGAGCAGCTGCAGGGGATGCCGATCGCCATATGCACCGCGGAGGCGAACGAGCAGCACTACGAGGTGCCCCCGCGGTTCTACGAGCTCTTCCTCGGGCCTCGGAAGAAGTACAGCGGGTGCATCTACCCCCAGGGCGCCGACAATGCCCTGGCCCCTCGTGCGGCCGAGCTGCTGCCCGAGGCAGAGGACCGGTCCCTCGCGCAGATCGTGGAGCGCGCCGGCATCGAGGACGGCATGTGCGTGCTGGACCTCGGCTGCGGCTGGGGCTCCTTCAGCCTCTACCTTGCCGAGCGGATGCCCAGCTGCCTCGTCGTCGGCGTGTCCAACAGCCACGGGCAGCGGGAGCACATCCTCGGGGTGGCCAGGGACCGGGGCCTGGCGAACCTGCAGATCGTCACCCTCGATGTGTCGAAGGCCCCTCTGCGGGAGCTCGCGCTCAAGGCCCTGGCGGAGGCCCGCTCGGAGCGCGGCCTGGCCGCGCCCGAGGGCTTCGACCGCTGCGTCTCCGTGGAGATGATGGAGCACATGAAGAATTATGATCTGCTGCTGGCCAGCGTGGCCGCGTGCCTGCGGCCGGGGGGGCGCCTTTTCGTCCACATCTTCACGCACACCCGCTTCGCGTACCACTTTGAGGCCAAGAGCGAGGCATTGGCATCGCTCGGACGTGTGCATGTCTTCTCGGCCATCGAGGAGCATCTTGGAACGTCGTGCCTCCCCAGAAACACACGCACGAAACCGATGAAAAAACACGGGGAGCGTCCGAGCGATGCGCATAGGCGGACTGGATGGCCCGGTACTTCTTCGCGGGCGGGACGATGCCCTCGGCGGACCTGTTCTTCTACTTCCAGAAGGACCTGCGGATCGTCCAGCATTGGGCGGTGAACGGGAAGCACTACCAGCTCACAGCCGAGGGCTGGCTGCAGAACCTGGACTCGAACGCCGAGGAGGCGCTGGCGCTGCTGCGGACCACCTACCCAGCCGGCACCGAGCAGATGTGGATGCAGCGCTGGCGGGCCTTCTGCATGGCCTGCGCCGAGCTCTGGGGCTACAACGACGGGACCTCGCCAGGGACACACAGCGAGCATCGGCGACGCGCCGTCGCTGGGCGCCCCGCCGGCGTGTGCTGCTCCCCTCGCGCCTCTGGCCCCGAGGGCCTGCCGCCTCGCCGGCCAGCAACACGCCGCCTGGGCCCCCCCATGGCGGCGTATCGCCGACGACTCTCCCTGCCCCCCCAGGATTCAGTCGGGCAGGTCCCTCCACAGGAGGAGTGTTCCAAAATAGTCCAGACATGCTCCGGGAACGAGGTCTCGGGTGTTTTTTGGAGCATGTCTGAGCATCTTGAGGGTATTTGTCTTTGTGCGTCCAAAACCCGCCTGCAGGGGGACACGCCCGACCGAACCCCAGGAACGAGTGGACCGTGAGCCACTACCTCTTCGAGCGCCCCGGCGCGGCCGCGACGTGCGCGGGTGGGCCGTGAGCCGCCACATTGCCTCGCGGCGCTGCCCCGGCGTGGCGGCCTGACCCTCCTCGCGCGCGCCAGGGGGCCCGCCGCTCAGCCGACTCGTTTGGGGCCTGGCGCGCGGGGCGCGCAGCGCCGGCGGCGAGCGGCCCGGCGTCCTCCGCACTTCGCCCCGTCCCCACGTCGCCGTCCTCGTCGTCGTCGTCGTCCGTCGTCCGTCGTCCGTGGTCCGTGGTCCGTCTTCCTTCGCCCATCGTCGTCCGTCGCCCGAGCCCGGACCCAAGACCGACCCCAAACCCGAGCTTGAGCCCCTGCGTCGCCGTCCGTCGTCCGTCGTCGTCACGCGTCGGCGGCGTCGCCGGCATTACCCACACGCCCTCGCCCCGCAACTTTAAGCAAATGCTTATTTTGAGTATTGTCAGGACAGTTCTTATGGCTTCCCCTCCTCAAGCCTTTCCTCGCTCTCCGCCCCGACTCCCCACTCTGCCCTGGCCTACATCTCCATCCCCGTGTCCCCCATTGCCACCCCCTGCTCGTCCTCCTCCACCTCCGGTCCTTCCCGTTCTTCCCTTCTCCCCCTCGCCCCTCCCCCCCTCCAATCCACTTATATCCCGCGCCCCCTTACCGTCCAGAATCGCGAGGTATTGTGTGGCCGGTGGGCGCCGCTACGCCTTGCAAGAACTTCCCACATTGGGAGTATATCGGTTTGCATATCTGGGTTCCTGCGGCAAGTCCCACCACTGTGCCAGCGCAGCACTCAGGGTGGCGGCAATTCGAGAACAACCCAGAAAGACTGAATGTGTTACAATTCTCGTTGCTGGAGTCCAGTGGGCCGTGACATGTGTCATGCCCTTTTTTCGTAGGCTCGAAAGACCGTTGCAGTGATGTGTGTTCGTTTCTTCCGACCCCATCGAGCTGTAGCAGATGGCGTATTCCCAGATCTCTGAGGGCAATAAAAGGTAACAGCTCGCATCCCCAGTGTAGAGGCGATAGCATATGACGTATGGCTTCCCATTGCCAATAGGTCTGGCACATGTGACAACGGGTTGTCCGACCTCCCAGGTGTGCCGAAAGTCTCCCTCGGGATGTCTCGGGGACTTTGGGGAGCGTGCTGGGGTCTTCGGGCGCATTCGGAGGTGTTGCAGCCGTCTGGGGGTGTCGCAAAGCGGTTTGGACAGTCCTGGGACGTTCTAGCTGACGATTTGGGATCGTGTTGGGCCGACATTGTGTCTGCGCACGGCGTTTGGGGGGCCGTTTGGAGGATCTCTTCGGGTATATTATGGGCGTTGCTGGTGGTCTGTTGAGGGAGACGACAAACACACACACACACACCACTGCAGTGGCCCTGGCCTGCCAATGACCTCTCGGAAAGTTTGCGGGCGCGCGCAGTGCAGTAGAGACCCGGCGACCTGGGTGCACCCGAAGTCGTGGTGCGATCGCCTCCCTGCTGCAACAGCGGCTGATATAGCAAGACAGCCATCCAGACAAAGTTGGGTAAAGTATGTTTTGGCTTGTGCCTGATGGAAAAATGACCTCTTGGAAAGACGACGACGACGACGTCATCGGCATCGTCATCGTCATCGTCGTCGGGAGACTTCTCGTGCGATTATTGAGGGGATCCCGGGACGTCCTCAGCGGCTGTGCTCGGGCTACCGTGGGCTCTTTTGGGGGGGCGTATGCTTGGGAGGCTAGCGTGGCCATCTGGGAGACGCTGGGGGCACATCTTGGAGTCCACTTCGCCGCCTTGCGTCGCTATCCCAGTGTTGGGCGCCACAAGTACGGAATCACTTTTTGGCGAGTTGACCCGAAAATTATCGAGAGAGACATGCATGATATTGCCGGGGTTGCAACATGTGTTGGAAGATGTTTGGTAAGTCATTTGGGATGAGCCAGTTTCCCAGACAACTTCAATATTATGTTTGCCCGCCATCTTGACCTCAGGTCGATCGGATCCAGTCGGGTGGCCGTTGAGGGAGTTGTGAAGGAGGAAGGAGGCTAGGAAAACGATTCAAACCCAGCCAGACAGCCTTGGCGTTACACCGCTCTACTGCATGTCAAGGGGCATGCTGGCGGATAGGCACTGCTTTCTATCAGTTTTCGTTGGACCCCTGTCGGAGCGCGACGGTCTTGGGGACAACAGCTGGATGGAGTCCAGCTTCACAGGCTATCAGAACGCATGACGTTCCGGCCGATGTCCGTGCCAGAGTGCCCCATCCCAGCTTGGGACGGAGGTAGTTCCAATTTTCCGAGTGTCCCCTGTGGGGTCGGCAGCACCGACGCGCGTTTCGGATCGCGAGCGGCTCGCCGTGCTTTGCGCAGTGGAAGGTTCTGCAATGCGATCCCCCGCAACAGCCAACGCTTGCATGGTAGCGTGTTGCATCAGGATGCGCTTCGGTGGCCTGTGGCCACCTCATAGCCCCCTCGTGGCCCGTCCATGTGTGAGGTGATGCGCAGGATGCGATTCGGTGGCAGGGGGCCGCGGCCCCTTCTTGTATGGCGTGAGGATGCGAATCGGTGGCTGATGGCCCGTGGCCCCCTTGTGCAATCCCTGTGCGTGTGGGTGGAGAGGTCGGGTTCAATTCGGCGTCACTTGATTCTCGTGGCTGGTCCGCTTGCGAAGCGGACGGTTGGGCGGGATTCGGTGACCCGTGGATCCTTTACGCCAGGCTCCAGGGTACGATTCGGTGGCCCGTGGCAGCGTCTGAATGCGATGCGGTGGCCTACTGCCCGTGGCCCCCTCCTGACCAGTCAGTGCCTGGAGTGAGCGTACGGATGCTATCCGGTGACGTGTGCCTTGGGGCCTCTTCGTTGTCCCTTCCCGCAAGCCCAAAGAGCAGCGCCGCCTTCCATGCAGAATCGCACGGCGAGCTGAGCGGCCAGACTCGCCAGGCGCCATGCCTCTTCAAGGAGGGTTCCCCCATTGGGGAAATTTCGTCTCATTGAGCTTATGATTTTCGTTGGCCACTGATGCGAATGCAGCGGTACTGGGGACAATGTCTGGATGGAATCCATATAACAGACTGGAGTATCTAATCGCTTCGCTCATTCCGCCACCGCATGTTGCATCACTGCTTTTGACTGTTGGTGTGCTCGTGGCGAGCGAGAAGGCGGAGGAGCTGGAGGAGGAGGAGGAGGAGAAGGAGGAGGAGGAGACATGTCGATTGTTTCTTGGGGCACTCTTGGGGCCAGACGGTGTCGTGCACAAGACGCCTCTTCAAGAGGCCTCTTGGTGTCGTTCGGGAGGCGTCTCAGGGCCCTCTTGGCGACATTGTCGAGACCTCCTGAGGCCTCTTGGGGCGTCATGTTGGTCTCCGGGGGCATCTTGTTTGTGAGCCTGCTGGCGGTCTCGGGGCCATGTCAGCTCGGATTCCCTCACACGAGGCCCTCTTGTGGGCCTCTGCTGCCCTCTTGGGAGGCCTCGTAGGCCCTCTTGTGCCGTCCTGTGACCGTCCAGGGAGCATCTTGGGCTCACTTGGGTCGATACTGGGGGAATCTCATAGAGGCCTCCTGCGTTAATTTAGGGCCGTCTCGGACCGACGGGCGCCCGAAAAGGCAAGCACTTTAAAATCGCTGAAAACCTCAGGAAAATCGATGTCGTGTCCCTCTTGCAGCCTTCTAAAGTGTCCTGTTTGAGCGCTTTGGAGGGATCTTGGGCTCCTTGGCCGTCTTCGACCGCAATCGGAACGTATTGGTATCCTCGTGGGCGGGTTTTCAGAGCACCTTGCTGACGTGGCGCGCCTTTTGGAGCCCCGAAGGCCACGCCCAGAAGAAAAACTCATCTTGGCCTAGGCTCGGCCAGGGTAATTTTCGTCGGGGGACCCCCAGGGGCCGCCCCGCGCGCGCGATCAAGAAATATTATGGAGCTCGCACAGGAAATTGTAGCACGCCTCTAGCCCGTTGGGCTGGCGGATTACGTATCCTCCCCGCCGATGCATTTGCCACTGTACGGCTTGGGACCGGGCCAGTTGGGTTAGTTTCAGGTTTTGGAGAATCCCATACGGGATCGGCAGCACGCACGCACCGTTCGAAACCGGGCGGTTGGCTGTGCTCTCCGCAGTAGAAGATTGTACGATGTCGTTGCCCTAAGGAGCGGACTTAGGTAGAGCCCATACATATTGATCAGGGGACATAACATATTGATGTGGAGCGCAATATGTAGCACCCCGCAGTTGCAGATAAGAGTGAGGGGGCGGCGGGAACGTCGGAACGTCGGCCGCGGGTTAGGTCGCGGGTGGGTCGCGGTGGGTCGCGGTGGGTCGCGGGTGGGTCGCGGGTGGGTCGCGGGGTGGGTCGTGGGTGGGTCGCGGGCGGGTTGCGGGGAGGGTCGCGGGCGAGTCGCGGGTGGGTCGCGGGGTGGGTCGCGGGTAGGTCGCGGGTGAGTCGCGGGTGGGTCGCGGGAGGGGCGCGGGGGGGGAGACGACAACAAACAATAACAACAACAACAACAACAACAACAACAACAACAACAACAACAACAACAACAATCACTTTACCCGAACGCTCAGTGTTCTCACCAGTGCCAGGGTTTTCATGCGACGCCAGCCAATACCCCCACTTTGTGGGGGGGCAGTGCAAGCTCTACCAAATATCCACACGACTCTTCGCCACCACCCACACCCAGCTTCCCGCCCTATGACGTTCGGACACTTCACTTCGTGGCCTGCGGACGACCGTGGCTACTACACTGGCGTGGAGTACACACCCACAGAAGTTGTTAAGCCTACGTTCGTACACCCACAGAAGTTGTTAAGCCTTGTTAACCCACAGAAGTTGGTAAGCCTTCCACAGAACATCTGTTGCATATGATGCATATGGTACATGATACACATGATACACATGATACGTACTCACAAGATAATTGATCACATCTTTGTCCAGGTGGCGGATGGCAGAACCGTGCTGCTCCTCCAGCTCCTGGGCGCTAGAAATATTAACCTTGCCAGGCACAACCCGATACTTGCCCCACCAAGTCTTGCACGCCTGGTGACTGACCTGGATACCCTTTGCAACGAGCGCCC